TCGTCAAACAGTTACATAAATAACTAATTTAGTAACATTTGCACCAAATTAATGCTAAATATTTTTCCACTACTCCAGAGTACAGAACGCAGAAAAAGGTACGGGCCAATTACAAGTTTTGAGAAGTGTCATCCGAAACGAAGGCGTCTTGGCTCTCTGGAGCGGTATGATGCCGACCTACGCCAAAATCGGACCTATGACTATACTTATATTTGTATTCTTAGAACAGCTCAACAAACTGTACCTCCAAGTAACAAGTTGAATGTAAATTTAAGTGGCCGTGGTTGTCAAGAGAATGAAGAGTGAAAATTGAAACATCGAGTGGCACAGATAAAAAAATAAATATTGAAAAAGAACGCTTTACACAGCTACCAAAATAAGAACAGAGGCCTCAGTACGAGTTTGATACGTTTTAAGTATTCGAAACGAGTACGCGTTCGGCGCTCTGATTGGCCGGCACCAATGAAGCAACCAATCACAGCGTCGAACGCGTACTCGTTACGGTTACTTTAAACGTAAAACAGACTCGTAACAAGGCCTCAGTTACTTAATATTATAAAAAAGTAGGTACGTTTCGAGCGTTGTGTTGTTGTAGTGATAATCTTACTATCTAACTAAAGTTAAATGCGAAAGTTAGTGAGTTTGTATGAATGTTTGTTACTTAATCACGTCAAAGCGGCTGAAGGGATCGAAATGAAATTTGGAACCCGCTGGTAAAAGGCTAGTTTTTATTAACGTACAGCTTCTCACATAGCTTTCTGCCTCGCACACCAAAACTGCGGAATGATCTATCGTCAGCGGTATTTCCAAACCGATACGACCTTCAAACCTTCAAGAAAAGAGCGTATTCCTTTTTAAATGGCCGGCAACGCCCCTGTAACTCCTCTGGTGTTGCGGGTGGTCGATTACCATCAGGTGATCCATCTGCGCGTTTGCCTCCTATTCCATAAAAAAGCTAACGATCGCTATACAGGAGTCAGAAAGTACCTACGCATTACCTAAACATACCTAAGCATCATAATTTAAAAGTACAACTGTATACATATACACGCTCAGTGTTTTGTCTGTGTAGGTATTTCTGATCAGTTTATTTTTATAACGATATTGTATTTTTTAAGGCAAAGTTTACAAATAAACCATTTTTACATATTATTCCACTAGGTATTTTAGTTTATTGAGATAATTAAACACAGAGACCCTTTAATCTATCTATCTATATCTATACTAATATTATAATCTATACTAATATTATAAAGAGGAAAACTTTGTTTGTTTGTTTGTTTGGTTGTAATGAATAGGCTCAAAAACTACTGGACCGATTTCAAAAATTCTTTCACTATTCGAAAGCTACATTATCCACGAGTAACATAGACTAAATTTTATTTTGGAAATAAATAGGGTTCCGTAATATATTTGGGTTTTTCGGACACAAGGTGTAAAAAATCAACCAGAAAAGTTACTTATTTTGCGTACGCTGCCTAAACTATAAAAGATAGAACTATGAAATGTTCTAATTAGTTGTAGATCTTATAAATATCTACAAAAAACTCCGCGACACACTATACCTATCTATGTCGAGTGAGGCACAACAACCATTTTTTAAATCAAAAATCTTGAATTTTTTTGGACTACTTTTAAACGCATTTATTTTACTCATTCTATTAATCCTTATCAAAATAATTTATTTCATCATTAAGTACAGTTAATGTAGATGATATTTGGTCTTTGAATGATTAAAATTGGATGTTTAGTTTCGAAGTTATGGCGAAATTAAAATATCACGATTTCTGCTGCACGGCCCGTTGCGAAGTGAGCGTCACCAAGGCGGGGGTGC